ATATCGACTGCTTGAGGAACTTCATATCTTCCTCTGAAGAAGCAGAAGGACAACTGGCTGAAGCAGGACGAGATGTCTTGAATTGTCCCTAGGAAGTAAACAAGTCTTGGATGGAACGCACAATTTTATCAGCATCCTGCAAAGAAAGTTGCAAATATTGAAGGTTTCCACTACACTAAACAAAGTAGAGGTAAAGGTGAAGCAAATATTACCTCATCAGCAATCTTGGAAGGTGGCATATCCCCAACCAAATCTGCCACCTGTGGCTCCACCATTCGTGAGGACTTTCCCTTGTCTAAGCAAGAAGACCTTGTCGCAACGGGCAGACTCATGGGAGCATCTGCAGAACTCAAAAAGTAACAAATCAAGAATCAATAGCACAAACAAAGGTAAAGCATCAAAAAATGAATGACCTTCTGTTTCGACGTTTGGGGGGTCAACGCCCTGGGAAGAAGGTGGCTCATCCATTGGTTGTAATGAAGATTCTGGGACTGAAGATTTCTCTTTAAGTATAGTCCTTTTATCAGCTGGTTTGGACGAAGCAACCTCAGTAGAGGATAATGGAACAGGAGCTGCCAACACCAAAGCCTTCAAAAGAGAGGCTGAACTTTTCTGAGAAATCCAAATAAACCATCAGCACATAGAAAAGTTTCAAGTATGGAAAGGTATGCTTGTAAGTAAACCAATTTAATTACCTTCCTCCTAACAATGAGGGGGTGTCATCATCATCATCCTCCAAAATAGGAGATGCTGAGGCTGGCCGTTTGCGGCTTGTGGTGCTTTTAGTTGCAGTGGGCTTGGCAGGAAGAGAAGTCGATGGACGAGTAGACTGTTTAGCACGAGCAGGGGAAGAGGGACTCCTAATGGACAGAGGAGTGACCAAAACAGGAGAGATAGAAGAAATGTTTGGCTGGTCCAGTGAATGGAAAGCACGATCAGCATCAATCGCAAACAATCTACGCTTCACTGACGGTCAGAGTTGTTCAAAAAGGGGATGGATGGCACGGCTAGGATTGAAAGGGGCTAATGAAAAGCTGCTCGTCAAAAGAATATTGCGAGCATCTATAGCTTCTGCCTCTACCTTATTAATGGTGTGGAAGCGGTCTATCAAGTTTCTTGAATAGCAAGGGAGAACGGGCCAAGTTTGATCGAAACCAAGTTGGGGAGCAAAGAATTGGGGAGCGCAAATTTCAACCCCAACTTTGGCATTGGTCCCGGTCAAAATATCATGGAACAACTCCCTCCCGGTCAAAAACTGAATCCAAA